TAAAAAAAAAAAAAAAAAAAAAAAAAAAAAAAAAAAAAAAAAAGAGAAAAGAAGAAAGAAAAGAAGAAGAAAAAGAAAAAAAAAATGGAAAAGAGTTGAAAAGAAGTAAAAAAAAAAGAGTTTCAAAGTATTGGTTGTTGAAGTAAGGGCCCAAAACAATGAATTAGGCTCTAAGAGTTGTTTGAATCTTCCCTATTTGTTTAAAAGTTGATTTCTGCATTTTAAGGGAATTCTAGGTCTTAATTTCATTGCTTTACTTACTATTGCTTAAAGAACTTTTGTTTATCCCTACCTCTCCTTGTTAGCCAATTCCCCAAGCCCCGTTACAATCCTTGACTTCTATCTTGAGTGGTGTGCATTTCAATTGTGGAGTTTGAATTTGGTATGAGCATATGGTGTCACTGGTTCTCGCATCTAAGTAGTAGCATTCCATTCAGGAGATCATATCTAAACACGTGTAATTACTCCAGAAATTGCTTTCTTTGTTATAACGTATGTGAGTACTAGTCTTTCATGTTTACATCAATCTGCTCACATATAACTAGTGTAGGGTGTGTAGTCAGAAAATCTGAGTGAAAATTGAGTGCATAACTAGTGAGTAATTGAGGGAATTCTCTAAGGCATGTTACTACATTCAAAATGTGTTTTAATTGATTAAATGCGAACTAGTGAATGGTGACTATGATTAAGTATGTGCTCGAGGGGAAGGAGGACTAAAAGCTATGTGAGTAATGATCTTTGACATGTCATGTTTCATTGGAAATCCCTGAGGCAAACGTTGGAAGGTTTAGGTTATGTTTTGTTTGTTTTGTTTCGTCTTGTTTCCTTTAGTTGTTTTGTTTTGCTCGAGGACTAGCAAAAGTTAAGTGTGGGGGAATTTGATAGGCGCATATTCATGCGACTTAATTAGCTTGTTCTCGTGCATTTATGTTGTGTTTACTTATCTATTTCAGTGTTTAAGGCCACTTTTGTGTATTTTCAGATTATAAGGCCAAAGTGTGCAAGAAGATGCAAATTGGAGTCTTTTGGAGCGAAAGAGGAATGAATGAGTTGAAGACTTGAAGAAACGACGAATTCCTACGCCAACGATGAATTCTTACCAAAACGAAGAATCCTACTCAAACAAGGCTTCCTATTTTAGGAAAGTTGACCCTAAGTTTCCCGTTTTGGTAACCTTTCCTAATCTTAAACGTCCGTATTTTCTAGCCACTTTGAAGTCCTTGTAGGCGCTTTAGGACACAAAACCAAGGCCCTAGCCGCACCATTTTAATTTTCCCCCTTTAATTTCTGATTTTATTCCCTAATTCTAGCAGCCTTTAGGTGAATTTTAGTTAATAAAAATAAACTAGGGTTTGAATTTCTAAAACCCTAGGGTTTCCACCATTTAGCCACATCCTAGGGACCTCTCATCATTTATTTTCATATTTTTTCAGCCACAAAAATGATCACAGCCGTTATTCCCTTTCAAAAAGACCCTAGCTCCCCTACTTTTCATTCATATCATGCAGCCACCTAAAAATCTAATTTAATTCCTCTTGCCGCAGCAACATACCCCATTAGCATTCACCCTAATTGATTCATTCATATTTTCTATTCCATCATTGACCTAAGAAACCAAAAAAAGAAAACAGCCGCAACATATTATTCCATATTCTTAATTCCACCCTAAGATCCCATTAGTCTATTCCGTCAGCCACCATTCCATAACCCTAATTATTTCAGCCATTATTTCCCATTGATTCTCCCATTCAAAAAAACCAGCGGCAGCCACATTCACATATAAAGAAAGCCGTGACCTCCAGGCCCCAGGGAATTCCAAAACAGCCGCATATATTCCAATCTGCCGCAGCCCCCTCCAGATTCTAATCAGCCGCACTTTAAATTCCATTCATTCATAATCAGCCGTAACCTTTTCATTTTTTCCCCATCAAGCCGCAGTCACCAAAACCCATTCAAACCGTGCCTTTCATCCATCCAGCCGCAACATCCATTTCCCAAATTCTGTCCAGCCGTGCCATCTCCACCATTCCCCTTCACAGCCGCAATTTTCCCACACCATTCCACCACCATTGCTGCCCACTTTAACACCCTAAATCCATCCCAAAGTCAGAAAATTCACCCAAATAAACCTAGACTTTCACTGTCGCAGCAAGGAGAAGAAGAAGGAGGGCTTAGACGCGCAGAAATTCAAGTGGATTCATCGTGCGTTCTAGGTGTAATCAATCCTTTGTTCTTTATGTTTAAATTCAATTGTATTTTTCTTGTTGCGAACATGAGAGGCTAAATCCCCCTAGTTAGCTAGGGGGTGATTCGAAACCATGTTTATGCTTGCAATATGAATTGATTACTTTTGGTTGGAATTTCATAAGTTGTGGATTCAATTCGTTCATCTATTTGATTGATAACTTATTTGTGTATGTTGATTGAGAGTGCACGCTTAGTTTTCATGCATGAATATGATGCTAGATTATGAGGGAGTTTCACCTAATAGTTACAATCTTATAATCACAAGTAGTGAAGGTCGCTTGAAAACGATCGCGTTGAATGAATTCTTAGCATAAGTTTCATGCAATTCATAGTAACGAATGCTTCGTCAATGCTTATGTTTTTCATAGAACTTAATGATTCTTGCTTGTATCTCTATTATGCAATTCATGTAGGGAACTTGTAGGGAATGTTTTGGGTTGTCGTATGCAATCATCCAACTTAATAACTTGTGGAAAAACTGATGGTTAATTAGTGCAATTCACAGTTAACTTGGGGCGTTGAGTATTTATAATTTATCGAAAGACCAACTGAAAATCATTTTGTATGCAAGTGTAACATGTGTGGAGAAGAACCTTCTAGCTAGCATTCATCCATATTTTCATCACATTCATTTTTACATTCTGCCTTTAAATTACAATCGTTGCATTTAGTTTAATTTCGTCAAAACCTCAATCCCCCTTTACTTTAGTGTCCAATTTAGTTAGAAAGTGTCTTAGTTGGTGTTTATAAGCGTTTTGTATTCTTTGAGTCTTTTGATTTGTTTTAGTGTTTTATTGTTTAGCTTTGCATTCTTTGAGTCTAGTTTAGTGTTTTAAAACTTTATTTTACGTTTTTGAGTCAGTTTCCAAGTGATTTTGCAATCCCTCCTAATCCCCGGTTAAGAACGATCCCTACTTATTCATATACTACAATTGTCACAAGAGGGTTTTAATTTGTGTGCTTACTTAGTTCGCATCAGTGAGTCTACTGAACGCGATCGACCATGCTTTCTCATATTCATGTCATATGAGAACTCATTAATTGGGATAATGCAAAGTAGTCTTTTGACTTGAGGCATCATAGTTGACTTATGGTTATGCCTTTATTCTTTGACTATGTTAAAGGCACTATGATGTGAGAGGTGTCACCAACATCTTTGGGGTTAAGCTACCTAATTATGAAGGCATGTGAGTGTACAACAAGGGATCTCCAACTGTCAAACCGTTAAAAGATAATACTCTATAATATGGTTAAGAATCTTTGGCCGAAGTACATGAATAAGATTTTGGAAGTATGTTCCAAATCACGATCTACAAGATAAGTGTTGCATGACGGTATCCAATATATTGGTGCAACTGAATAGTGAGCTTGATTATTTGTAAATTGGCAAAGACACGCAAGGGCCAGTAACCGTTAACAAGGCACTTTTTATTGGGAGACTCTTGTTTGCATTGTAGAGCCATTCCAAACACATTCCCATCATTCTTGGCCCTCCAAAGTCATGGGTAAATGTAACAAGTTCTGTAGTTTCAATAAGTTTCTGGCCATGTCAAGACAATCCAGAGCTCCCACGGATTCTCTAGTGCTTGATAGCCCATCAGGTTCTAAAAGACATAGTTCATCTGCCACTTTTGCATTATTTGGAGCCAGCCAAAGTGCAAGCCCTAAAGTTGAAGAACTTAATGCAACTATGCGAGATCTCTTCATTCGATCGCATGGTTTATGGATGTCGTTAGGCAACACTCTCTTCAAAATATCATCAGTGACCTCAAATGATGCATATGTCATGCACACTACATGCTCAACGGATACATATGTCATGCACACTGTATGTTCTACATATGCACATGATATGCACACTGCATACTAATAACATGCACATGGTTTGTGGATGTTGTGGTTGTCCGATGAGCTTTTAGTTATAAATGAGTTATTGCCCCTCCCATATTGGTTTGCCTTTGTTAATTATAATGGAATTCCATTATCATTTCCGATGTTGGTTTGCCGAAAAATATTCTTCGAATAATTGCTTTAATAACTTTCTGTAACTTTTCAAGTCACATGATTGTGACCCCCACCCGGTAAATGCGCAATGTTTAGTAAGTCGTAGTTAATAATCATTCGGAAAGAATATATAATTGCTCATACACATTTCATGCTCAAAGGATGCACATGTCATGCACACTACATGCTCAACACATGCATATGTCGTGGTTGTCCGATGAGCTTTCAGTTATAAATAGGTTCTTGCCTGCCCCTCCCATGTTGGTTTGCCCTTATTATTATAATGGAATTCTGCTATCATTTTCGATGTTGGTTTGCCGAAAAAATGTTCTCTGGATAATTGCTTTAATTACTTTCTGTAACTTTTCAAACCACTGTGATTGCAATCCCAACCTGATAAATGTGTAATGTTTAGTGAGTCGTATTTAATAATCATTCGAAAAAATATATAACTGCTTATGGACATTTCATGCTCAAAAGATGCACATGTCATGCAAAAAAGGCGCACATGTCATGCACAAAGAATGCACATGATATGCACAATGCATATTGAAAAAACATGCACATGGCAAGACAAAAACTGATTCACTAAGTACTAAAATTATGATAACATTTAGGTGAATGAACTGTAAAGTGTAAGAAACTTAAAACAAACTGAATTCCAAAATTTAATAAAAAGTGACATTAGATGGTAAAAATAAAAAGAATAATTAATACTAAAAAATTTACTCGAGGAATTGGCAAAAATATGGCAAAATCAAACGAGTTGGTAGAACTTAATATCGTCAAACATGACTAGATTAGTAAAATAGTATAGATTCAACAACACCAAGTTGAAAACAAAGTAGCATCTTGAATAAAATTTCTCCCAAAATTCTGAAACTAGCATTGTAGGAAAACACACAGCAAAATAAACCAAAACAACTTCAAGATTTACTTGTCCTCTTGGCAATTTTGTTGGTAACAACATCAAATTGGGCTATACGCTCATTGATCACCTCCCTCTTCCTGGTGGAAATGTTGTGTGCAATCTTAACACAGTAAGTCCTGCAGTTATATTAGAGAAACAAAGGGTTAGCAAATTCTACTAAGCTAAAAAATCTCTCTAAACCTCCAATTTAACCTTAACTTGCCTAGTTCATCAAACAATTTGCATTTCTAAACAACCAATTATAGCATCAGCCAATCACTAAAACCAATATTCAATGATCATCTTATTCATTTCATAGACTACAACAACTCTAGTTCACTGCATTACTGATTAAACACACAATTAAAGCAATAATAAATCCCCAGAACGATCCATATACAATACATTGAAATCAAATATACTTACTTTCTTAATTGAAGCTGTTCATTCTCAATTATCTGCAAAAAACCCACAACCAACACACATTCAACAAATCACCAAGAAATTTGGAGAGAGAGCGAGACCTTTTCAGTGTAAGTAATGACAGAATTCTCGCGATTATTTTTCTCTTAAAAAATGTGACTATTTTTGACACACCTCGACCGAAATCAGGGCATGCTGGAAGTGACGTAACCATGTGCATAGTGCGGAAGTTAATAAAATAATAATAAAAGTTCGAATAATTAAAAAAATCAGCTTTACACAACGTAAGAACATACATGTGCAAGCGTAAGTGTGAAAAACAAAGTTCAGAGCTCGAAGACCTAATGCAGTCCGGGAGAAATAACGCTACAAAAACACACCCAAAGGTGGTCCTACACTGGTAATAATCTATCAGATATGCCGGGGAAATCCTTTGGGAAGCCACCAAAAGTGCTAGCCAACTAGAACCTGGAGGGGCGCAAAACAAAAAGTGTGAGTGAGCAAAAACAAAGCTTTTCGAAAAACATTTCATAAACAAAGTTCTAAACCCTCGCTGTAAAACCTGTATACCTCCTAGAAAATAGAGTACAAATATATCTATAAAAGTCATGCTCAGAAATATGCCATGCCAAAAGCCTCGAAGTAAAATGCAAGTGCTCAGGTAATGTCAAACCAATGCCATGTAATCTGTCAGCCGGAGTCACCTAACGTGACCTGTACGGCTGAATCTAGAGCTCAAATCTCCATCTCACTGACTATACCTGCACACGAGTCGGAACCACCTAAAGTGGTCTGTACGATAGGACTGGGTGTAATATAAGTACGCTCAAGTGCTACGATCACGTGAAGGCTGGGCGAATAATCGCGGGTCACCTACGAGTCGGAACCACCTAAAGTGGTCTGTACGACAGGATTGTGCACCTAACTTGGATCCAAGATGAGCGTGTGGTGTGGGAGGTGAACATCACGTGAAGGACTGTGCCCAACTCTGGGCGGGAGCACTAACACCGGGGGTGCAGGTTATGAGCCCTCTATGCATCTCAAATCACTACTGAACATAAACATAAATCATAACTCACCTGGCACTTACCTGTGTGTCCGCAACACTAAACATATATATATATATGTATATATGTGGCTGATAATGCGTAATAAATGGCAAACAATAAGTATGGCATATAAACGTATACACGTTTCCAAAGGGTCGTAACCCCCTTGCCTCGAGTGACAGCGCTCGTCCTCGGGATAGGTCTCACCTATATGCGAAACAACTATAAAAACGTTAATTTTAAAGCACATAACCAACATCACGAAATAACTTCTCATACAATGCTCAAATGGGGTGTATGAATACACCAACGTGATCTACTCAACCTCAGGAACATCCCCATATTTTTAGAAAAATTTTCCACCGCCACACGCGCCCCCACGCGCCGGCCAAGGCACGGCCACGCGCAGGCACGTGCCTGGCACACTGACAGCGTCAGTTAATGCCGTCAGGAATATTCTGTTAACTTTAACGGATTCCGTTAACGCCGTTAGGAATATTTTGTTCAAATTGACGGAATATTCCGCCATCTTCTCCGGCGAAGCTCCGGCGCCGTCGCCGGCGCCGGAAAATCGGGAAAACTTTAAAACCTTGTAACTTTTTCATTTTTCAACCAAATTTCACAAAATTGGTACCAAAATGAAGCTTACAACGAGAGGAACAAATCCATACCACTTTTAAGTACTAAAACACACGGAATCTCGCCGGGAAAACACCACCAACTCCAGCCAACCTTGTAACTCACGATCCCGACGTCCAAAACCTTTAAACGAACCACCCCGAGCCTCCTAAGGACCTCACCAAGCTTCCTACAAGCTTGAAATTCCCAAAAACACAAGAATTAACGTGTGCATGAACAGTGACCAAATCGGGGTATCCCGAGTTCGACGTGAAAACGAAGGTATCCTTACCTGAAATGGGTATGGTTGAACTCCCAAGGACCTCACGAGCACGAATATGTAATTTGTTTCCTCGATCTGTGAAGGTTTGGATGGTTTTTGGGTGTGTCCGTACATAGAGGATAGGAAAGGGGGAGAAAGAGGGCTCGGGACAGGGATGCAGGACAGGGGAAAGGGTGAGGGGGTGTGGGAGAGTGTGTGTGTGGTCCAAAACTTGCCAACAAAATCCAAAAACAACCACACAACGAAATAACCACACTAGGGGCAAAAACGTCATTTCACCCCCACAGTTCGAAAATCCGGAACGGGCTGTCACAATTTTTGCGCCTCTGATTTCATAACTGCCCTTTCCTCCCTTCTTTCTTTGGTTCACATCTATGGAACAAAGTTCAACCACTCCTTTGATAAAATAATGGATCTAAAAAATTTGCAAAATTTAGAAACTGAATTCTAAGGTGTTTTTCTTTGGGTAGACACTTGATGTGGTTAACTATCGCAACATCCAAATCCTATTCTTAGAAAACAAACCCAAATCCAAAAATCAAAATTCAATTCCTTCGGATTACCAAGATCTAAACTTTATTTTATTGCTTCTAATAAATCAAATGAGATTAAAGAAAAGGGAACATTGGTACCGTGTAATCGTTGTTGATGTGGGCAAGGCCGACTTTTGTAGAGTCTTTGATAGCACCGTTGGCTTTCCTGCATGTTTGAAGAGTCCCCATTTTTCTCTGATGCTTCTTTTGTTGTACAACCCTAATTCCACCACCATTCAGATCGCTTTCTCTCTCACTCCCACTTTCTTTCTCTAGAAGTAGACACAATGACTTGGCTTGCGGACCTTGAGAATTTATTATGCAATAGTTAAGCAAAGGGTTTTGAAGGATTTAATATTATTATACCTCCAAAATCTTTGACGCATTTGACAACCTTGAGGATGACGGTGATGGGGTTTTCCTCCTTCTTTATCTCACCTCTGTCTCCCTTCTTCTTCTCACTCTTGTCGTTGCTTGTTGCTCCCATGCAACTGTGTTGAATATCTAATTGTAACATAAAATACAATCCTAATCTGATTATTGTATACACTGACTTGGTTCTAACAAAGGGCGAACACAGAAGAAGCATGTCGCATATAACTAGACCACTAGTCAAAATTTTATTCATGTTTGAATAATTGTGCAAAAAATCGAACAAATCGAAGTCGCCAAAATAAGAATCCTATTGTGTTTAGACTCATATTACCAAACATCGTCACAAATCCACAATGTAATGAGAAGGGCATGGAGGTTTCAACTCACCTATTCATATTCCTATACAACAATGAACACTTAAAGACATCTATGGAATCTGGACATCAAAACAAAAGTTGGAGATTCTAGAATGAGTAAATAGATAATGTCTAATTCCACCCTATCAATATTTGACGTGATGTGTTGGTGGGCCTTGTCACACCACAGACTAGACAAGAATATACAGCTAGATATGACCTTGTTATTTGTATTAGTATACATTCTAATAACAAAAATTTCCACAAATTCTGCAATATATTTCACGCGTTTTGTTGTTTAAGGATCGTATTCCCCATATTAATGTCACAAACTTGTTGTTCAAATATCTACATTGTGGATTCTGTTGCAACTAGACTTGTAATTCCACTTTGCAATATTATAAATATAAAAATAACATCTCAATTTCAAATGTCTAAGAATGCAACATGTCTATCAGATGTGAATGGGTTCCACGTTGCTAGTTCCAACTGCTAGATGAGTTCCGCATTAACCCCTGCCAACGGAACAGACACTATCATCAATTCCCAAGTCACATAACTTTGTTAACTGCAAGTAACATTCAATCGTAAAATCAAAAATATTACATCGGCAAAGACTCAAAGTGATCAATTTCATACATACACCAAGAAAAATACTCACACATGATCGAAAAAAAGTTATAGTCATTAAAAGGTTGTGACTTGTGACATTGAAAAACATCCACGTTTGCCTCAAATTACAACAACAATGTTAAGATAAGAAAGAGAAGCAAAGTAAAGCCAGAGATTACCGTGCTACAAGAAGCATTCCATAAATAAACAAAATTTCCCAACCCAATAGCAAGCACATTGTGCAAAGACCAATCGACAAGGTTCGAATATAAATCGTCTTGCAAAGCAGTTGCATCCAAAACCTAAACAAGAAACAAAATTTCCATAAATAAAAAAAAAAGCCCCAATTCACAATACTCAAAATCCATCCAAACCCAAATCGCCAAAAGACTAGAAAGTGGTGAAAGTCACCTTATAAGGCGACTGCAAACCTTCTGAGGAGCCTTGACCGGGCTATGGTGAACTCTAGTGATCACATCATCAAACCCGAAAGGGGTAAGCGAATGCATTGATCGGCGAGTCTCGCTTTTGAATCGAAAGATGTTGGGGCTGAGTGGGTTCATCTGAATCACACTCCTTTTTCTTAGGCGTCGTCGAAGGGACGATTCCGGCAGAGTCAGGTCCAAAGAGGGCAGGCGTATAAGAGTGTCATAGGTGAGGAGAGAGAGGGCTGTTGGATGAAGATGGGTGAGTTATGGTTCTTCGAGCTGATGATTGGGCGAGCGAAATTTTCGGAGAAATGTGCAAATGACGTCTAGGTGGGAGGAAATAACCATTTATATACAAAGAAATTAGGTCATTTTAAGGTGTAGAAAGAACCTTATTTCTGTCCAATTATTGTGCATTGCATGTGGATAACTTATGCATATTCAAAATGTCGTATTTTTGTCATTAGGAAATGATCATATATCTGGTTCTTTTCCTAGCGCCCAGCTCCGCCTTGTCCCATTTTATTTTCAAATGGGTCCAGCCCGATTCTTTTTAATTTTAGGCCCGTTGTTTCTTCTTCCTCGCGTACCCTTCTGCGAAGTCGCACGTTGCGGTGGCTCGTCGTGAAGCCTCGGAGAGTAAGAATCCCCCAAATTGTTGGGGGAAATTGCAATGGATGCCAAGGACATCTTGGGCTTGCCCAAATCCACGCATCCCGCATCCCAGGAGAAGAACGCATCCCAGGAGAAGAAATCTCGGCCGTTGAAGGAATCTCAGCGAAAACCAGATGGCATTTCGCGCGAGGTATGATTTGATTGTCTGTGTTTAGGGTTTTTCGGATTTCGTTTAAATTTATCAAATTTCGGGGATAATGCATGGTGGGTTTATCAAATTTTGGTTGTATAATCTTGAACGATTGAGAAATTGAAATGATAATGCGTTTTCGGGCTTTTCGAGTTGCAGGTGTATGCGCTTACCGGGGGTGTTCCACCTCTCATGCCGGCAGTGGAGCCATTACAGCTGAAAAAAAGGCCTCCGACTGATGAAAAGGTTAATTTTGTTCATCATTTGCTTATTTACTCACATTTGTAGTATTACTGGAAGCTAAAAGATTGTAGGATTTATATATTTGAGTTGCTTGGAGATGTAGCCCATTATAGATTTCATGTAGATTTTTTATTATTTTTTGGAGATATTTCACTTCCACAATCAGACTACAGTTATGCTAAGTCTGGCATTATGCTTTCAGATCACTTGGCAGTGGCTTCCTTTTACTAGTTCTACCCGGAAAGATAATTTACAGCTCTACCACTGGGTATGTTTTGGACCTTTTGTAGCACGCCTCCAAGCTCCGCGTTTCTTTTCCTTTTTCTTTTCCAGTCGGGCTGTGTGTATGACTTTAGTCACTGCTACTATGCAGGTTATAGTTGTAAATGGCATCCCGCCTACAGGTGACTACTCCTTTGCCAAGTATAACAAGGTACAACTATCCTTAATTGTGTTGGGAAAGAATTGTCCCTTTTCTTATGAACATATAATTTGACTTTGTTTCAGGTGAAGTGAATACATATTATATATTGATTTTATTTTTCAAAATCTGTGCAGTCTGTGGACGTTGTCAAGTACACAGACGAGGAGTATGAGAAGCATTTGACTGATGATGTAGGTATCAAATTAAGATTTTATTTGTGTGATGTCATTTTATTTAGGGTATTTGGATTTTAGGGCCTCAATAAGTGCTGTTTTAGATGGAAATATGAAAGCTTTTTTTTTTTTTTTTTTAATTTAATTTAGGTTCAGATTTTAAAATCCAGCTCCTCATCATATGAAATGATTTCAAGTGTTCTAATTATAGGAAAATATTGCCATCTGAAATTCCAGCCTCACCGATTATTAAGCTTTAGAAGTAGGAATTGATTGTGAGAATGCTTTACATTGCCTCATTCTCCGTTGTTATATTGTGTCTCCATTAGATGTGGACAAAGGAGGAGACAGATCAATTGTTTGAATTATGTCAACAGTTTGATCTACGCTTCATTGTGATAGCAGACAGGTTCTCGTCTTCTTGTACTGTGGAAGAACTGAAGGAACGCTATTACAAAGGTATTGTCTATCTGTTTTCTTTATGAATTTGTTTTTGCTCACTATTTGGTTCACTCTTATGATGTTCATGTTAAGCTTTAATTTCCATGCTTGAATCTTTAAATGATTCACTGTTTCAGAAAGATCATTGAACTTGGCTATTGCAGATGCTGATTATCCGATTATTTATTGTAGTATCTCGATCTATATTAATTGCTAGAGCGGCGGCATTTCCTGGAAATATTTCAGAGCATCCTATTGTTAAGGTTTGTAGCTTTGTCAACTGATCTTTTAGGCAAATATTAATTCCTTTTTGTTGGCAGAGGATCTCTCTGGGAATAAGTTAATTCAGCTGTGTATGTATTGGTCTTTATAGACCTTGCATTGGTGGCAGACATGACTGGGCTACCCTTTATTAGTTTCTTTACTTACAGTTTCTCTGCTTTGGTTTCTCTTGTTTTCTCTTGGTTTAGGAACCTTACAAATTTACACAAGAGAGAGATCGCAAGCGAGCATTGTCCATGGTTCTCTCTCAAACAAAGCACCAAGAGAGAAAAGATTATGAGGTTTTCATCCATCAATCTAGAGTGATTGATTCTTTAATGTGGCCCTGCAACATTAATTGGGGATTTGATTTTTCAAATGGATACATTCATTCACTTGTTTGATCCATTGTACATTATCTTAGGTTCTGGCAGAAGCCAAAAGAATAGCTGAGTCACACATGGCTGCAAGGGTAAGTTTACCGTTAGATACTATGCTTTGTTTTTATTTACTGGTGAGTTCACGACCATTTAGGAAACTGTACTTTCTTGTCACTTCTACTTTGTGGGTAGAATGAACCGCTATGCTTCTCCAAAGTATACAGCTCTGTATTACACATAGCTATCCATTTTTTTTTTTTTTTAGGTTTTGGATTTACCTCTTTTCTTTGTGGTAGGGGTATGTTTGTTAACTTCAAGTGTACTTCATTATAGATAGATACATTGTATGTTATGTAAAATTAGACTCTAAGTGATATCAAGGTATTTACTTTTACATTGGCTCTGCATTCCTCCTTGTATTGGTAAACCACTAAACCCTATTTCCTGAATTAGGAGGTATTCCAGCATCCGTTAATGACCCTTTTTCCTATTAACTAGAATTGTTAAAAGTATTTATTAGTGACTCTCAACTTGTGGAAGGGTTATGGCCTATAGACATCATATTATGCCAATGTATTGGTTGTTCAATTTTTAAAATCAGAATGAATAGTTATGTGCATGCATCTGAGTGTTGTGCGTATGTACTTGGTTTTTCTGTGTTTCAGAATGCTAAAGAGTCAGAGTTGCTTGTCACATTTACTATGGATAGTGAGAGGGCTATTGTTTTTGGTGAGACTCTATCACCTCCATCTAACTCTGAGTTCGCCCCTGCAATGGTTGCACATTCAACTTCAATGGCAGAGAATGCCTCTACTCTAGTTTCTCTTCGCATGGTATGTTTAAATGGTTTGCCAGATTTTGTTCTATATCCTCGTTCCTTTCCCGTGAAAGTTACTACTGCATGACTCCTCTGTTTGTATCCTTTTTTTCTTCAAGGAAAATCTTGTACTTAATTTCTTTGAAATATGTAAGATATCCATTCTCGAGTTCATTGACTGGTTGATTGACAAAATTTCCAGCTTCGGGTGTATCTTAGAACATATGCACTTGACCAAATGATCCAAGCTGCAAGCTCATCTGCTGGACTTCGGACTATCAAGCGGGTTGAACAAAGTTTGCAAGAACTTGGGGTCTGTACTACTTCTTGAACTATTGATCAAGTATAGATGCTTTTTTCATTGTCAAACTTGGTAGCATAATTTTTTTATCTTGTGCAGCAAATTTTCAGATCCATTACATGTTACCATGGTTGATCTTGTTTCATAAATTTCACCTTTGCTTTGCTTTAAATTTCCTTTACCTTATCATGATAGAGGTTAAATCACTTGGTAATTCAGTTTCATTGCACTGTCTGTCCATTCATGAATATGGATGAATTTCTAGACAATTACTTCTTGTCATAACAACTTATAGAATTCCATTGAAGAGAGATGCTTTGCGGTATTTGGCGATCCTGCTTTGTGTATTCTTAAATTCTATATGAAAGTTAGATGTCATTGTTTGCTCATTTCTTTTTATCTTGTTTTAGTAATAAGCTCAGTTATATTGTTTGGTTCTTGATAATCAAGAATTTTGCCATTCAAAATTGCAAAGTACGTATTTATATTCAGAGCAACATATCCTATGAATATCTTTATTCCTCATTTATTGCTTTTTAAAAGAGTAAAGTTGTGCATTTTGCTTTACAGGTTAATTTAAAGCCAAGAGTTCCAACTAAAGCCGTTTGTGCACAGCATCTTGATCTAAGAAAAGAAATATTGACGCTACTGAATCTTCAGAAACAGGTGTTACTTAGCTAAGCTTTATCTTTTATAAATACTGTAAATATTCATTTATAATTTAGAGAGCATCGTATATCCCCTAAAACATGTATCGATGATATTGCTTATCTCCAAGTGTTAGCACGGGGTGTGTTTTGTAATTCTAATTTCCTTAACCAAACTCACTGTCTTTTGAACAACAACATCATCATTGTTCATCTGTGGCGGTTTCATTTCTGTTTAACTGCAAATAATTTGGTTGCTTAACTGCAGTTTTAAAATGAAGAGTGCATCTTTCTTCAGTTTTGTATTTTATTTGACATAAGTAATACTTTTGGTTATCAGTTACAACATAAGGAGGCAGAAGGCTCATCTTATCGTGATGGTCCGTACGAAACACCAGGCACACCCAAGGTTTGTTTTCCATACTTGTAGCAGGCTTCTCAATTGACAAGCTATCTTGTGATTCAAACGAAGAGATTTTTCTGACACTACTGTCTTCTTATTGTGGTGATCAGGATCGCACCTTTGTTCCTGATTCAACAAGTTTCGGAGGTGAAGTATTAGGTGATAATAGGAAATTTTGTGTCATCCTGCACGCTTGTTTATTGTTTGCTTGTCTGATTCTTTTGGTTGTTCAGAGTGTTCTTCTAGTACTGTTGACCTCATTTATATCCATTGGATGTCAGGGGATAGAGTCGGTAAACGAGACCAAAAACGAAAAGCCCTTGGTAGGGCAGAAGCTCCATCATTGCCTGCGCAGTCTAAAAGGCCTAGAAAGTCAAGGGCATCGGATCTGTAGCTCCAGAACTGAGTAAGCAAATCAGCTCTGAGTTGACCTGGCATGCAGAATGCATAATTAAATTGGTGCAGGTCTTCCGATAGTTTCAAATGTAGTAGCAACCGAAGTAGGAGAAGAGGTTTTTGTTTCTAGCAAGTAATTCTAGTTGGTAGTTAACAGTGACCGGCAATGATGGACTTAACCAGCTTTTTAAAGTAATTCTGAGTTGGGAGCGCCGAGTAATGTGCATGGCATAAGTGGAAGTTCCAATTTCCGTTAACCTTGAGGAAATTGTCCAAGTATAAATAGTCCGAATTACCACATTAGGCTAAAACGATGTGAAATGCTATATTTATGTAAATACATTTCTTGCTAATTCCAATATTAGACTGGTATTTAGCTCATTGAGTGGCAATGTTGAAATGCTGATTAGGAACACGACTTAGTACACTAAGTGTTGTAATATAAGTGGGGAGAAGTTCTTTCGTCAATTGTCCATCGGCTTATGACAGTAACGGGCCGTGTTCCGGACATCTAGAAAAATCTCTCCTCCAATTGTCTCCGTCTCCTCTCGTGTAACGGGTATCTCTCTCCTTGCACAACAGGTGACCGAACATTTACCCGGCGGCTTGCAGCTTTCATCCGCAGTTCATATAAATGGGTATGGTGGCCAATGTCTCTAATAGTTGAGTTCAAAATCGCTTGTGGTGAAATCCCTTGCCATAACACCTCTGATCCATGCTTAGTATCAACATCTTCCACTTTTCATAATTGCAAAACTCACTCTAAAACACATTTGATCAATGCTTACGAAGTTAGGTTGATTCATTAGGGTATTTTTTTTCTTTGGGGGAATTAATTATAGTAAACATATTTTGACATTTTGTTACAAAAATAATCAGTGTTTATTATGTGATCATTATATCATCATTACGTCATTGGTATATGATTAATATGTTTTGTTTTTAATAAATGATCATTTCCGTAAACAAAATCTCAAAATGTTTATGGTAAAATTTCCATTTTGTGTGTGTATTTTTAGGCATTGTCCAAAAGAATCGAACCGTTCTCGAATAGATCCGATCTAGTACAGTTGCCACGATCATTTTTGCTTAAAGCTGAAGCGAAATGGTTATGTTGCATGATTCAATTTTCAGTTTTGGGAGTGAACCGGGCCGAACTAAAAGAACAAATGTCTAAAGGGGAGGATCCAACATCATTGAGTTTGATTTCTAAAAGCTCGCAAAACACATGAAACTTGAGTCAGGCTTAAGAGATTCTACGCACGCGGGAATGAGAGTCAACTTACCGCATGGTTTCATACATTTCATGGTCAGATGAAACTTGAGCTAGATTTCTAATGTGGAAAAACTTAGGAAACTCCGGCCACCCGCATATTGCACATCAAGATTGGGCATGCATACGAAACTGACAACTTCGATCCCAATCAACAGGGATTGGCACGCTAGCTACCAACAGAGCAGCCGGTGCTTTCATTTCAGGATGGGGGAGGTTTTAGATATGCAAACCCTATTTCTCTCAAACTGACTTGCACTGAAACTAGTACTGACATCAGAATACCCAAAATCCAAAAGAGCGCTACCTTTTTTTACCTCCCACACATTGTTAATTTCTGTCACTTTCCTTGTGTAGAAAGAAAAAAGAGATGTGTAGATAACACCATCCAACCCACAAAAGCCCATTTTCCGTGTGTTCTCAAATAAAATAAGCAAAATTTGATGAACAATGTCTTCAATTGAAGCAGGGTGCACCAATACAATCTCTTAACAAGAAGATAACAACACACATTCCAAGGCACTAAAGGGTTAATCAATTTCTTAACGAGAACAAAGTCAAAACCTTAACCTTGGTTGAAACTGAAATTAAAACAAGTCCTAACAAACCAACATCAAAACCCAAACAAAAGTATTTCTAACCTTTGATTCATTCGAACTAGTAAACTACAAAAATAAAAAGGTAAATCTTAGTTTCTTATCCTTAAGTTTCGTGGTTTTCAATATTTGGTACATGAAGTTTTTTTTCGTCCTAGAATCTAAAGTGTTAATTTTAGGATAGTCTCACATTTCCGTTAGTTTGGCTGTTAAATCTCCCGTTAACTGATGACATGACGCCCATATGGACAATGATTGGGCGCCACCTGTCATTAAAGAGTCCATGTGAAAATTAAAAATTTAGAAATTTTTTTTTTTTGGTCTGTCTTCTACCTCCCCTAACCTTTCCTTCCTCCCTTTATCCCTCCATTATCTCATCTGCACCAACCCACCAAACCCTCCTCTCCTCTCCTCTCCTCTCCTCTTCAACTCGTCATACATCCACCCTTCCCCTTCCATCTTCGACTTCACCCATCCACCCATCCACCCACCCACCTAGGGGTGGTTCGGTATGGGATACCATACCGAAACTAGTATCCCGAATCCCAAACCGAAAATTTTCGGGACGGGAATTTGAAGACCAATCCCAAACCAAATTTTAGGGAATCCCAAATTTCGGGAATCCCAAAATATTTTCGGGATTTTGGGACAAATCGGGAATCCCAAATTGAAATATGAAATTATGAATTGTTTTTCAAATATATAATTCAAGAACACATTTATGAACTAGGAATTTCATTTCATTCACACTACCATTTAATTGAACACTGGCATGCTTGACTCTTTTTATCATAGTCAAAATTCAAATTAATTAAACTCTTTTTGCAATCTATTGAGAGACAAAAGAATCAAGCCTTCTGAAATCATCAGCCATGGCAGCAGCAATAATAAAATCCACATGAATATCAAACAGAACATGAAAAATATGCAAGGTGTAGGGCATTCTAGGTTGTTGAGCATGAATTAGAAACTACTAGCATCAATTATAAAAGAATAATATATATATATGTATAAATATATATAATAATTAATATTATATATTTTCGGTTTGGTATGGGATTCCCGAAATATCGAGAAGCCAATCCCGAATCCCATACCGAAATTTTGGGATTGGTTCGGGATAGCATCCCGAAAATTTCAGGAATTTCGATTTGGGAAATTTTTGGTTTGGGATCGGGATTTTTTTGGTTCGGTTCGGGATTTTCGGGAATTTTTTCCACCCCTACACCCACCCAACCCTCATCTTCTCTTCAATGGCCTTCATGAGCTCGAACCTCCGACCCCCATCGACCTAATTTGACAACGGTGGAGAGCCACAGGGTTGGATCGGTGGGGGAAGATTGATCAACCGAATTGAGAAACCATTTTCGGTAGCCCCTGCGTCTTTGATTTTCGAGGAATTTGTCGGGCAAAAATCCAATTGGGAACCCATTTCCGGCAACCCACGGGGTTGGATCGGTGGGGAAAGATTGATGGCTACTGGTTTTCTCAGAAGAAGGAGGGAGAGAGACACAAAGACAGAGGAAGAAAGGAAGACAAAGGAAAAAAAAAATAATATTTTAATTCCTCTTCCCAAATCAACCCACGCGAACCTAACCAAAGGAGCGAGCACTGTAATCTTTACACCTCGTCTTCTCCATCTTTGTTCGTCTGATTCTCCATCGACCACCATCGATCTCTCCCAACCATTTCTTATCCGTTTGCAGGTGAGATGCAGATGCTGCGGAGATCGAAAGGTAACTGAAATTAGGGCTTCGATGGAGAATTTTAGGATCGCAGAACAAATAGATGGTTCACGTGGGTCGATCTAGGGAGAAAGAAGGGAGGGGAGGTGGAGATGGGGAGGAGAGGGAGGAGGTGGGTCTAGGGATGTGAAGGGGGAGGAGTGGGATGGATCAGATGAGAGGAGTTGAAGAGGGAGGGGGAAGTTTGAGATTTTTTTTTAATTTTTATCATTTAATTTTTAATTTTTTAATATCCATGTGAGCCTATGTTGACACGTGACACCTAATCATTGTTCACGTAGACGCCACATCATCAGTTAACGAAGGTTTTAACGGAAAACTTAACAGATGTATGAAAGTGTCCCGAAATTATGACTTTATGTACCAGACTAGAATGAAAAAAACTTCATGTACCAAATATTGAAAACCAAGAAACTTTAAGGTAGTAAACTGAGATTAACCCAAAATAAAAAGCCATAAAATCTCACATATTGCAAAAACAATTGAACAACAACAATCCTAACCTTGACTGTTTCTGAACAATCCGCATCTTCGTCACTTCTCAATCTACTGAGCCAAACTCGCAGGTTTGTCTCCCTTTGAAACTTTTATACCCTCCAAAATGAACTCCTCGACAATTCTTTAGGTAATTTTTGGGTTAGTATTAGCAAATAAACAGACATATATAAATGGGCAGGTTGGAGAGGGGCACGAATGGAATTGGCGTTGCCCCAGTTGTGGTGGGAAGCTGGTGCAGGCCTTGGTTTGTCATAGGTGGAGAGGAGAACACGATATGGTTATGGGCGTTGATGATGGAAGAAATAGTAGACCAAAACACAGCCTAGAAGCCAATAGGGTTTTACACCTTAACTTCAAAGTTTCCTGCTAAGTTACCTTTAGTACTCTGCTTCAGGCATTGTGAAGCATTAACAATAGGTCCTATCCATCTTTCTTTTCTTCTTTCTCTTATTTCTTTTTCTTTTCATGTTTGACAGTTTCAGTTCGAGCTTGCAAAGCAAGTATATTATTCATGGGTATAAGAAACTAATGAAGTAAAAAAATTCTGATACCATTTCATGCTCCAAGAGCTATTACAAAAAACAATCTACATAGTTGATTTACATTATTCATTTCTTCATGCTTCATAATCTCTTCATCTACACTACTGCCATATTGCAAGAGTACTGGAAACTGAAGGTCTACAAGTTACCTGGATTCAATAGCATAAGTTTCACAACCTCTAAGGAATGACCGACGCCACCAAATCTGGAAGGCTTTGCTGAGGTTAGGACAGTCAGTGCTGTACTTCGAGAAATGTTGAAACCATTCCGTAAACAGAATGTACTGCTGCTTCAAGGGTAGTGTAAGGAGTGTCTGACCCATAGCTTCCTCCAAACACTTCATGTCAAGCCCTTTCTGGCACCTTTTCAGCCAACCAAAGTCCAAGAGCATTGGACCAAACCACGCCTCGAGAAGTGCTGATCTTGAATTTGAACCGCAATGCAGTTTTCTGGTCCCCATTGCAACAAGTAAAATTGCTGATACACGACTCAGCTCGTACCTAATCATTGGAGATGTTTGGCCATGCATTTGAAGCAGTTCCTGCTGATTGCCCCATATATCCACAAATTCCTCAGCGATTTGCCGATCAAGCAGGATATCTATCAGCCAATTGATATTATCAACCTGCCTTGAGATGCGTTCAATCATGGGCTTACCTGTCTCCTTAACAGGTCTCTCATGAGAAATGCCGTCACACTCAGAGGCCTCATGAAAGAGGGTAACAAGTGAAGTGAGACAGGATTGACAGACATCATAGATATCATCCTTATTGAGGTCATGATGGTCCTTGTCATACACTGAACTTCTGCATAGCAGACCCTTCACTAGCAACTTGAGCTCATTCCTTGCGTTGACATCTGTACAAGTGGTGATAGACCAAACAAGCTGTCTGGCTAAACTTTGTTGAGAATCCACAGAAGAGTCGAGCAAGTAAAGTCTGGCCAAAATGTCCTTAGTCGTTGCATCATCAAACTTAAACCTTGTAAACAGGCTCCTAAGTTTCTCCTCTTCTTCCTCAGTCCAAGGAACAGCCTCAAGGTATGTTAAACAGGACAAGACACCTTTTGTGAATATGATGCCTGCTGATGCCTAGTAAACATTTGATTCAAAACAATGCATACTCATATTATAAACATACTCCATAAATAGTAACAAAGTTTCCACAAACTGATGAAATTGTAGTTTTATCAATGTCCGTCGACCTTAAACTATCCGGTGTTTTCTAACTGGTTTTAATCAATGTTACTCCTTCCCTTTTATTACAAATTACGCCAACAAAATCCGAGAGAAAAAAAAAATCTGAATTTAAAAACTCGAAAGTTAATCAATATGCCAAGAAAACAGAAAATACAAGAGGGAGCAAAGCACTAACCTCAAGCACATCAATAGCCTTATATACTCCCATCCTGGAGAGGCGCTTCGTGACATCATCATCCTCATCAAACATAAGTTCAATGGTTTCTCTGAAAACTGTCAAATTCTCAACTTCTGGCACCTCTATTCTACACATTTTTGAACCACTTCCCACCACACCCTTTCTATAATCCCTGATTAAACCCGCAAATAACTCTGAATTCGCACTCAAAACCTCCGAATTCAACTCCAATATCAAACCCCCACCTCTTTTCCCCCTCAAATTCAACCTCACGTCGAACACATTGCTCCCACAACCAGGCCGGACCCTCTGGCTCGGCGTCCGAACACTCTCGGGTTTCAAATGGGTCGTAGCCCCGACGGCTGGAGATGGAATGGGGCCGGGTTCTTGGATCGAACCCGGAAGCGGACTGGAATCAATTGGGGAGACTCGACCCGGGGACAAGATCCGACGAGGGTCTATCCGACCCACCAAGCCCAATCCGGATTTGGAGCTCTGAGGCGAGTTGGGGACGGAGATGGAGGTGTGTTTGGACAAAGTGCTGGATTTTTTGCTGTTGCTGGGAAGGGGTTTGGAGTGCTTAGGGTTTGCGAAGGCTTCTGGGCTTGAAGGCGGGACTGTCAGCGAGCAACACCATGATCTTCGATAGGAGCTCTGTCTTTTGCGGAAGGAATCGTCCATGGCGATGAGTTTTGGATTACCGAGTCAGGTCACGAGTAACAGAAACGGAGAGAGAGGGGGGAGAGAGAGAGAGAGAGAGAGAGAAAAAGAGAAAGATGTTGCAGTGGCATTGTTTTCTGAGAAGATGCGTTTCTTTGTTTCTGCAAGTGACAGTGCGAGAAAGGGCTGTTCCTTCTTTCTTTATTATTATTTTTTGCTCTTTTGGGGAGATTCTATTTGTTTTCTTGGAAAACCTGCGAATTTTTTGAGTGTTGTTCTGTAATGTTAAAAATGTTGGATTTATTCCTACTTAATATTATGATTTAATGATATTTCTCTTTATTAGTGAGTAAAAAATTTTAGATTCAATTCTGGCTAAAATGAGTTTGAATCATATTATTGCTAGTCCACACTCTCACCTACAATAATATCGTTTGTTAAAAAATAAAATTGATTTATATTTTTAGTGCATTTTTGCTTGCCACACTATGGTGATAATATTATCCTATTTATCATCATTTGATGCATTTAACTTTTAATTTTCTTTCTATTCATTGTACATATTTCAAAATTTAAACTCATTTAATTTTTTGTCTATTCACGGTACATATCTCAAAATTTAAATTCATTTTAACATTAATAAATAGATTGATGAGAATCACCATTGTGACATCCCACATTGCTCAGAGGAGTGATCCTTAAATGTATATTCCTATTCCTACCTAGCACGAGGCATTTTGGGAGCTCACTAGCTTCGGGTTCCGTAGGAACTCCGAAGTTAAGCGAGAAGAGGGCTTGAGCAATCCCAGAATGGGTGACCCACTGAGAAGTTGCTCGTGAGTTCCCAAAAACAAACCGTGAGGGAATGGTAAGCCCAAAGCGGACAATATCGTGCTACGGTAGTGGAGCGGGTCCGGAAAGTGACCCGCCCGGGTCCGGAAAGTGACCCGCCCGGGTCGGGATGTGACAACCATCACTTAAGAGTTGTGAGCAAAAATATTTCCTTATTTTTTTCTCATCCAAAAACAATTTTAGTTTTAATAACTTGCACATTTGGGATAGAAACATGCCTTCGGCAACAAAGAAAGCTTTCTTATTTGATGTATTGGAATTGGTTTTTATCGTGGTCACACTTGTCTATGATGATAGGCAAATAGAAGGTTTTATCAAAAATTTTGTTCATACATTTATCATTTTGTTTTCTAGGAAAACAAATAAAACTGTATTTTGGAGAGAGACCAATTTTTTTATTTATTTCAGAGAAGATGAAACTTATTCATGTGGCAGGTAATATTGTGATGACCCGTCCCGAATTAATATATATTTTATCCTCAAATGTGTGAAAATGACGATTATACCCTGAAGTCGTAGTGATGTGAATGTACGTATACGGTTTTAAATTATTTTCCTGTTGACGTCATTAAATCATACTCGATGTCATGAGAGTGTTGACGTGATTTAGGGCCGAGTTGGGTTCGTAACGAAAATATTACGAATAAACGATAGTGGATCGGCTTACTAATTCAGCACACTTTATACTAGTTTGAGAGAACTATTCTTTAAGTCGATTAGCTGAGTTATTTATATCAAGGATTGTTAAATACCACGGTGTTCTGGTTGGTATTATTTCTAATCGGGATCTTAGGTTCACTTCTAAGTTTTGGGTGGCTTTCCAGGAAGCTCTTGGTATAAGATTGCTCTATAGTACGACATATCATCCACAAACAAACAGGCAATCTGAGAGAACTATCCAAACACTGGAAGATATGTTGAGATCTTCAGTATTGCAGTTTGGTGACGCTTGGCATAAGCGTTTGGACTTAATTGAGTTTGTCTACAATAACAGCTACCATTCTAGTATCGGTATGTCACCTTTCGAGGCACTATATGGTAGGCCATGTCGTACTCCTCTTTGTTGGTCAGAAGTTGGTGAGAGGGTGTTAGTGGGCCTAGAGATTGTTGATGAGACCACCCAGAATATTCACGTAATTAAAGCTAACCTGAAAGCGGCCCATGATCGATAGAAATGCCTTGCTGATAAACACGCCACTCATAGGGTATATAAAGTTGGAGATTGGGTATTTTTTAAGCTATCCCTGTGGAAGGGCGTTCTACGATTCGGTAAGAAAGGTAAGTTAAGTCCTCGCTACATTGGACCATACCAGATCACCGAGCGAGTCGGTGAAGTTGCCTACAGACTTGAGTTACCTCTAGAATTATCACGGGTGCACAATGTTTTTCATGTTTCTATGCTTCGCCATTATGTCTTCGATCCATTACACGTGATACCTCCTTAACCTTTAGAAATTAATCTAGACTTGACATATGATGAGGAACCGGTGACGATTTTAGACTGGAGTGATAAGGTTCTTAGGAATAAAACTGTGCGCATAATGAAAGTTTTGTGGATGAACCACTCGGTGGAGGAAGCCACTTGGGAGACGGAGGATCATATACGAGATATGTATCCACGCTTATTTTATGGATATTAGTGGTTTGTTATGTTAGTGTATAGAAATTTCGGGGACGAAATTTTATTAAGAGGGTAGGTTGTGACGAACCGTCCTAAATTAATGTATTTTATCCTTGAATGTGTGAAAATGACGATTATACCCTCAAGTCGTAGTGATGTGAATGTATGTATATGGTTTTAAATTATTTTCCCGTTGACGTTATTAAATCATACTCGATGTGACAAGAGTGTTGACGTGATTTAGGGTCGAGTTGGGTTCGTAATGAAAATATTACGAATAAACGATTGTGTAATTGGGCTAAGGAAATGGACCAATCACCACACCTCCGACTTTCTTAGGTCCAAATAGAATTTTAGGTTTGTTTTGGGGTCAATTGTTAGCCCTAAACATGCAGCCCAATTAGGGCTTAAGATCCCTTTTATTTATGCCCAATTTGGACCACACGCACATATTCACACACACGTACATACCCTTATCCTTTATCTCGATCTTTCCTTCGTCCGTACAGTCCGTACACACACACCCCCAACCATCTTCATCTTGCACAGATCGAACTAGTGGAGGTCATTTTCGAGTTCCTTGCAAGGTCAAGAACCTAATCATACCCTTAGTTTTGTGAAAGAACCTCGGAAACCGGGGAACTCGTGAGCTCCAGCGAGGTATTCTGCTACTCCATCATGATCGTGGATGTTTTACGAAGTTTTAGGGCTTAAGGGAGTCTTAAAACAACTTCACATAGATCATAGAGAAGTTTTGGAAGGTTTTGGATGTTGGGATATGTTAGTTCCTCGAGTTGCAGTTTTGACTGGAATATTGAAGGATTTTCCGACTAGTTCCCGTCAGTTTTAGGACTTCAAAGTGGTAAGAACATGTTCTACTCATTCAGGGCTTCAAATCCATGTAAAGTTTGTGAAGTTTGGTTGAGATTTGAGATTTGAGTGAGATATTTAAATTTGAAATTTTTCCAGTTTCCAGCTACGCAGCAGCGATCGACACCAGAATCGGGCGAACGACCGTAGAAGGAAGGGGAATATTCCATCAACTTTGACAGAATATACTAACGGTGTCAGGTAAAGTTAATGAAATATTCTATTATTTAGGGGAATATTCCCTAATGGCGTTTAAAATTCTGTCTGTGTCTGGCACGTGCCTGCGCATGGCCGGGGCGTGGGACGTCGAAAAATTATTCTAAAAATATGGGGATGCTCGTGGTGTTGAGTAGGCCACGATGGAATATTCAATCACCCCAATTGAACAACGTATGAGAAGTTATTACACGGTTTTGGTTATGTACTTAAAATTAATGTTAAAATAGTGATTTCACATATAGGTGAGACGTTTCTGGAGGACGAGCGCAGTTAGGCAAGACTCGGGGGTTACGAACCAGCTACATACCAGCGAGTGGGCTTTTGGTTTTCTATATATACGTATATATGCTTTGCGTTTTCCCAGAAATTTGTTTTAAATTAAATGCCATGTCAATTGCATTATGCTTTAGAGTATGCATTAGTATAAATATGCATATTGTTGCCTGATGCTGCGGACGCCCAGGTAAGCTTTAGGTGAGTATATATTGATAATAGTGGATGCATTGTTTGTAGTTATACGTAGATGCATTTAGAGCTCATTATCCTGCACCCCGATGCTAGTGCTTCTGTCCGTGGCCAGGGCACAGTCCTTCACGTGATGTTCACCTCCCGCACCGCATGCTTACCTTGGATCCAAGTTTGGTGCACAGCCCTGTCGTACAGACCACATTAGGTGGTTCCGACTCATAGGTGACTCGCGATTATTCGCACAACCTTCACGTGATTGTAGCACTTAAGTTTACTTATTTGCACCCAACCTTGTCGTACAGACCACAATAGGTGGTTCCGACTTGTGTGTAGACATATCTGATGAGCTATAGGTTTAGTCGTACAGGTCACGTTAGGTGACTTCGGCTGACATATCATTTTACATTGATTTATTTCATCTGGCTACTTATTTCCATACTGGGATACTTGACATGGCATATATTTGAGTTTCACTACTCTCGAGGGTGATTTTTATATACGTATGTATTATTATTTTCTGGGAAACTATACGGGTTTTACAGTGAGGGGTTATTACTTTTGGAAAGAGAAATGGTTTTGAAAAGCTTTGTTTTTGCCCACTCACGTTTTCTGTTTTGCGCTCCTCTAAGTTCTAGATAGAAGTGCGTGTTGGTGACCCATGAGGACTCTACGGCGGTTCCGACAGACATCCATCAATGTAAGGTTTTCTTTCATACCCTGTATAATTAGTATTTAGCTTGTTGGACTGCACCTTGGCACCTACGCTTTGTCTATGTGTATCTACACTCTAACACTTCTTCCCGCACTTATTTACTTGTCTTGTGTGCATTAGTTAATTGGGTTTTGATTTCTTACATCTTCATATCACTGTCACTTCCGCATTGTGCACATGGCTACATCACCATCACGTGATGGCCAGCATGCCTCAATTTAGGTCGGGGTATGTCAGATATCATGTTTTTTTTTCTTTCGCATTTATAATTTCACCTCTTTATAATTGAAAGAGGAGTCTATATCTCCTTATTATTGTGAAATTGAGGATATGTGTGCAATGAAACATAAAGTAAATAAGACAGAATATTTACGAGGTTTGGCAAGTGTGCCTATGT